AAAGACTCTGAAGAAGGTGGAAGTGTGATAAATATGAGGAATGGGAAACAGGGTGAAGGGGACACTATATACAAAGGCTGGTGAGTAGATGGTTGCATAGGTTTTTATACTAAGAACAGGGGAGCCACTTCAAATGTTTTAAGCCCAGGGATAAAGTAATTAGAGATTGGCATTTTGAAAATATCTTTATATTTATAATAAAAAGAACAGATTGGAAGAGCCCAGGCTAGTCAAGAAGTGAGAGATGGTGGAAACCTTAATAGGGTGGGCATAGAAAGAGATTGTAGAGCTGTTTAGGAAGTAAAGAGAATGAGACTTGGTTGTGTTGAATATAGGGAGTGTGGAAAAGGAGGTCAAGAATGCTTCTTGGGCTTTGGCTTTGTACAATGGGAAATACATAACTCAAAACAATAGGGTTTTTTCTTTTAATTTTTTATTTGTTCCTTTTAGTTATACATGACAGTGGAATTAAATCATGAATTTTGGTCATGTACAATTTGGGATGCTTCTGAAACATTTCAGAGAAAATAACAGGTAGACCATTGGATGTGTGAAAAAACACAGCTTAGAGGATAGGTCAAAGGGGAGTCTTTAGTATTTGGGTTAAATGATCAATGAAAATGCCATCATGGATGAATTACAGCACTCTTTTCTATAAAGGGTCTAAGTATAAGTGAGGAAGTTGGTCTAAGTGAAGAAACGTTATTTTTAGCTGTGATTCCAACAAATGGAAAACATCACATTTAAAGGAATAAATGTCGATTATAGAAAAGGAAGCAAGTGAATTGGTCCCTGAAGTTCTGTCACAGGGGATACCTGCTTCTGTTCCTTAATAGGAGCTACAGTGCCCTGGAAAATGTTGATGTCTTATGGGAAGGTTCTATAGCACTGTCATTGCATAAATGTTCTTCAATCTTTTTCTCAATTAAATAGGTTGTTTCCATGGGCTGACCCAGACAACAGTCTACCAGGTATAGCATTGTCTTTTTATGTGACCTGTTCTCAGTTCTCAAAAGCAACTTTTAGAAAACAACCCTTTCATGTATTCAGGATGTCTGGTCAGAGGCTTGTTACACATGGGTCAGATGTTCATGAAGAATCCATAAAGACTACAGAATTGTAAAACCACAAATCCATAAAGGAAGTGGTCCACAGGGTAAGATGCTCCACAGAACTGAGACAGAGAAAATCCATGATTGGTCAAGTCTGGCTCAATAAGATTAGCAGTGTCTTTTCAGTAGTGCTAGGGTACGGGAATGTTCAGTAGTTGAGAAAGTGAAGGCAGTGGCCTAGACTCTTATAACTCCAATGGAGTCCTAAGACCACCAGCAGCAACAATGCAGAATCTCAGCTTCTGCCCCAAACCTAAAAAAATAAGAACCTGCATTAGAACAAAATCCCTTGGTGATTCCAAACACATGAATATTTGAGAAGTAATGGTCAAGTTTGGTAGTTGTAAGAGTTTGGATAAAAGCTAGAGAAGGAAGATTAGAAATAGAAATTCAAAAAGAGAAAAGATCTCAAGAGGAAGAGGTTAGGATCAAGAAAACTGACCAACATGGGGGGGAAAACGTAACACTCTATCTGGGAAAAGGGGATAGAAGAAGTAGTATGAGAGCCTAGGCAGACACCTGAGAAAACTTCACGGAAAGATAACCTATTTCTCCCCCAATAAAATTGATGGCCAGGTGAACTGGTGAAGAGGAAACAGAGAAGTTTTAAGCTAAATAATACACAGTTTAGAAACTCTTTTCTTTAGCTCTCAAGAGTTCTAGCTATTTTTCTAGTATTTTTGGTTAACATTTCTTTGTATTTTTTTTACCTATAACTTCTTTAAAACAGGTATGCATCAATGTATAGAAATATTAAATAATGGTGATATACAGTAAGACTTTTGCATTTATGCAAGTAGCTTCATGAGTTATGAACTTCTTTTTTTTTTGAATTTTTTTTTTTAAAGAGAGAGTGAGAGAGGAGAGAGAGAGAGAGAGAGAGAATTTTTTTAATATTTATTTTTTAGTTCTCGGCAGACACAACATCTTTGTTGGTATGTGGTGCTGAGGATCGAACCCGGGCCGCACGCATGCCAGGCGAGCGCGCTACCGCTGAGCCACATCTCCAGCCCCATGAGTTACGAACTTCATTAGGGCCAACATTAAATAAGTCAACTATCAGTTTGCAAAAATGTATAAACACTTGAAAAATAATCTTTACCTACAGTTTTTATGTCTAAAAAGTTTGCTAAAATCAATAAAATTATCTGAAAAATTCATCTCACAGATTCATTAGTGATTTATTTAATTGGTTTTTTGATGACCATTTATCATGAGGTATAGAATCTTCAGAATGAATGAGGGAAATAAAAACCTTGACATGCTTGCCTTTTATATAAACTAAATTTTTGATTTATAGGACACAAATGAACAAACTACTATGGCCTGTCATGTTTTCTTAGTTTCTAATTTATTCAACCTCTGCTCATTATTGATCCTCATAGCAGAGTGGCCCAAAGATAAATTTATTCATTCTACAGTTTAGTCAGGAACAAGCCCAAAATTATAGATTTTCCCAGGCAGATGATGACAGGCAGTCAGGGGGATGACAAATGGCTGTCTTTAGATTTAGTAAGGACAGTTGGGCCAGACGTTTCCAATAAAGATTGAAGCATGCTGGTCAAATACAGGTTCATCAGCGGTCATCATTAATGGTGGAGAAAGCATTGCCATGCAGCAGACACTCATACAGGAGCTTAAGCACCAGCCCTGCAGAGGAAATAGATTTGGCTCCTCAGTACTTTGCAGCACTCCTCTAAGTGATAGTATGACATGATCATTTATCAAACAGAGACTGTCCAGAAAAGTGTCTGCTTCTTTTAGTAACTTATTGAAGGGCAGGAAAGTGAAAGCATTTTATTAAAGACAGGAAGGCAATGAACAACCAGAGCATATCCAAAGGGTAATCGTATTTCAGCACAGGATTAGTTTAGTCTTAAATAAACATACACTGGAGGGAGTATGTTGAGGGTCATTTATCAAGTGAGGAATAATTAGCAAAACTCTGAGCACTCATTATCTATATCAATTTAAAGTTCTCATACTGTTGTTATTACCTAACTTTTGGATGATGGGCATTGTATTCAACACTATAGAAAAAATACAGTGTACAATCCCTTCCTTAAAGGTTTTTAAAGTAAGAGTAATATGGTGTAATTCTCACATAGAATAAGAAAATTATAGCAGGCTGTATTAAATGCTGTTGAATAAATGCTATGGAGCAGGCATAGTCTAGGTCTCAAGGCTGAGGGCTGAAGCTATAGTTTGTGAAGAGAGCTTTCTTAGAAGAAGTCAACTACTTGTTTGTCATTAGGTCAGAAGTTTCTTCTTTCTTATAACTTTTTCTCTGTTGACCAAAATTAAGAGAAAGGGAATTCATTGAGGAATAGCAGGGCAGGCAAAGAGAAAATGAACATATTTCTGATTTACCTGTTTTGTTTCCAGCACTGTATATGCCATGACAATTACTGCAGTTATCCTCACTTTATAGAGGAAGTCGTAGGTCTCAAGTAAGTAACAGTGCCAAGGAATTTAGGATTGCCTTTTAAAAAAATAAGTCCTATATTTTCACATAGATTATTTGGATCCCTCGGGGTCAAGCACAGACTTAAATTCTGGGTATATAACCAAAGAATATGAAATCATTTCTACTCTATGTTCATTACAGTATTATTCAGAATAATCAAGATTTGAAAACAGCCTAAGTACATTACCTTTTTTGTGTAATTCATAATAGACTAAACATCTAAGTTTTAAAATAAAAGCCAGAAATTTTTGGCATATATAAAAACTACTCAAAGTATATTTTAAACAAAAAAAATTTTTTAGTTGTAGATGAACAGAATGCCTTTATTTTATTTATTTATGCAGTGCTGAGGATAGAACCCAGTGGTCTCACACATGCTAGGCAAGTGCTCTACCACTGAGCCACAACCCTAACCCTCAAAGTATATTTAATTTCTATTATATAGTAGTTAAGACAAAATATTTGTTTAAAGAAGAAGAGAGGGAGAAGGCAAGAAAATAAATGACAAAAAACTATGGGGAAAGGAAGTGACAGTGGATGGGAAAAGAAATCCAATATGAGAGAAAGAGGCACTAAAGAGGGCAAACTGGAAGAACTGGCTCTTATGTGCCATTAATATGTTTTCCTCACATTCAGTTGAGTTGTAGAACACAAAATAAATTATTCTTTTCTTTTAAGCTATAAAAAGCATGCAAAATTTATGACAGTATGTAAAAAAATTATACTCAGAGTATGGTGCCAATTTAAAAAGAAATACCTATGCTCAAAAAAGAAGACTGCACAGATATAAAGGTGATCTTTGAGTGACAAAAGTGATATTTTTCTGTTTTTCCTTTTGATAGCTTTTTCTAAATTCTTTATAAAAGGCATCAAAATAAATTTTTTGCAATGCCAATTGTCTGTTTACTCGGTACTCCCTAACTGCCTTACTCTGTAAACTTCTATAAATTCCACTAAGAATAGGGCCTCTTCTGTAGCACAAATGTTATGTGAGCTGCAGTTTGGGCTCACATAAGGCAGGTATAACCAAGAACAGTACTTTGACTCCCCAAGTCAGGATATCACTTTTTTGCCTTTTCCTTAGTCCCTTCTACTACCATAGGCCATTTTATTAAAAAAAAAAAGTTATTATGCATCACCTGAATACCTGGCACTGAACTAGAATTCTATGAAAAACAGTAATTTTAGAAAACAGCAATTCGGGCTGGGGTTGTGGCTCAGTGGTAGAGCACTTGCCTAGCACGTGTGAGGCCCTGGGTTCCATCTTCAGCACCACATAAAAAAATAAATAAAATGAAGGTATTGTGTCCAACTACAACTAAAACATAAATATAAAAAGAAAACAGCAATTAAAATGGACATGCTAGAAGTACAGAAAATTATGAAATACTTATGGCTTACTTTTTCTTCTCTAATTATAGGATTTGGAGTTTTTACTGAACAAGCTGGTGAAATTATGTAAAATGGATCTAAATGGAAATCCTGTTTGTATCAAACCAAAATACAGGGACAGAATAATATTGGTGTCCAAATCATTGGGTATGTATTTTACATTATCATAATTTTTACAGAGAAAGACATCTGTTCAACTTTATAGTTAAATTTATCTGCAAACTTTCAGAAATATAAATATGACATCTTGAACCATGAAATGGTCATCTTAAAATTCAGTATTTTGAATAAGAGCAAAAATTAAGAAAATTGCTAAATAAAGTATGAAAATATCTGCTGTTCAGAAATAAAGCACCAGACTCTTTAAAGATAAAATGTAGCTGATATTAAGGAAAGTGGTTAGTTACGAATGTGTAAACTTGATGACCTTTTGCTAAACTTTCATTGGCACAAATCCTCTGATGATCCCAAGAGACTCCTTAGTTCTTGGTTCTGTAGATAAAATTGATCATGTTTTCATTGTTTGACATTTGCCAAATGATACCCAAGCATATAGAAGGGCCTTTCATTTGAAAGGGAAACAGAATGATGAATTCCTTTATAAAATCCTTAAAAACAATAACATTCCTGAATATGCACTATAATGGAGGAAATGGACAAAAGCACTTGATCAATAGTGACCACAGTTACATAGCATCAGAGAGACAGGCAACACTCTCTCACTAAGGAGCCTCATAAGAGCATTTCCTATAACAGTACCTTTGTGACATGATGTGCTTGAATTTAAAAGTTAGCTGTATGATAAAACCACTTTGAAGCTCTAGTAAATTTTGATAAATCATAATGTTAGTAAACTGATTAATCATAATACTAATGATTCTCTGGAAGGAGGATGAAAGGCATATCAGAAAAATGCAAGGGCCATACAAGATGAGAACAGAGAACACACAGGGACAACAGTCAAACATAGTTGTTTTGAGTTTTTTGGGGGGTTTTGTTTGTGTGTGTTTTGTGGGAGGAGGTTTACTGGAGGTTGAACCCAGGAGTACTCTACTTCTGATTTACATCTCCAGCCCTGCCTCACCCCTTTTTTTGAGACAGGGTCTCACTAGGTTGCCCAGAATGACTTCGAACTTACAATCCTACAGCTTTAGTCATGTATAGTTTTTAAAAACTCTACAAATAATTCTGCTTGTAGTCCATCATCCATCCTCCCATCCCCTCCCACCTCTGCTCATAACACACAATATTGTATTAGTCCACTTTCATTGGCATGCAGAGTAAAATAAATACAATTAATGCTTTACTAATTGGAGACTATAAAAGATGTAGAGCTAGCTATATTGATTACCAAATAAAGAGGGCTTATTCCGTTTGTTTTGAATAAATCTTTTCTCTGACTTGTTTATGATTACAAAACTAATACATATTTTTCTTGCAAAAATACACAGAAGAGGGCTGAGGTTATAGCTCAGTGGCTGAGTGCTTGCCTCTCATGCATAAGGCACTGAACCTCGATCCTCAGCACCACATTAAAAAAATAAATAAAACAAAGATATTGTGTCCATCTACAACTAAAAAATTTTTTAAACACATAGAAGAAAATATAACTCATAATCCCATCATAAATCTGCTGTTAACACTTTAGTGTTTGTCTTTCCAGGGTTTTTTCTATGCACATATACACATATAACAAATTCTCTTTGATTTTAGCTTTTCTTATTCTCATTTCTTTCTTTTTACTAAGTGTAAAAATAAAATCAATGGAAGACATGGTTTGATGTATCCTAGTAAGAAGGCAGCCATATTATGTTTCATAAATTACCCATTCTTCACCAAATGGAACAAGCATATATTCGGTTTACTTGGCATGAATGGAAACAAATTTCATGCTGAAAGCAGCTCATTAAAAAAAATAAATCTCATAAGATCTTGTGTCCATTACCTGGTTTCTATACATAGTAACCTCAAATAAAATCATTTGCTAAAAATGAGATGGAATCAAGTTAACTGAGGCACAATCCTCTAGTCACTGCAAATTCTGTCTCGGACATTAACATAAAAAAGAAGAAATTGGCCAAGCACAATGGTGCATACTTGTAATCACACAGATTCAGGAGGCTAAGACAGAAAGATCATATATATAGCAAAATCCCATCTCAAGATTTAAAAAAAAAAGAATTGGGGATGTAATTTAGTGATAAAGTGCCCCTGAATCGATCCCTAATTAAAAAAAAAATTTGTGTTAAAAGACTTGGATTTTTCATTCCTTTAAAAAAAAAAACATTTTTTTTAGTCATAGATGGACATAATATATTTATTTATTTATTTTTATGTGGTGCTGAGGTTCAAACCCAGTGCCTCACCCGTGTGAGGCAAGCACTCTACCACTGAGCCACAGCCCCAGTCCATCTTTTCTTATGTTTATAATAGATGTTTTTAAAAATATGTACTGATTACACACATTCCATCCAAAAAATAACATATTGTGTAATTATTAATTAGAAAATGAACCAGGAAAGATATGAATAAATTAAGTTGTTAAGAAAACTGAACATAAAAGAATGACCCTTAATGTAAAGTTATAAGTACTAAGATATATTATGATAAAACATTTAACCAATTTCTTGAAGTGCTATTATTCAGTTAAGAAAAGTTCATGAAACAAAAATACGAAGACACTGTACTTCTAGGGTTCATGGTTCTAATTTATACATTAGTCCCCCTTTATCTGTGGTTTTCTTTCCAAGATCAGAAAACACGTTATAGTACAATAAGATATTTTGAGAAGCAGCCCACATTCAGTTTTATTACAGTATCTGGATATAATTGTTCTATTTTATTATTAATTATTGTCAATCTATTAGTATACCTATTTATAAATTAAATTTTATCATAGGTATGTATTATAAAATAACACAGTATATATATATATATATAGTATTCAGTAGTTTCAGGCATCCAATGGGAGTCTTGAAGTATATATACCATGAATAATGGGGGAAACTGTGTTCCAGTTTCATCAATTTATTTTGTGCCTTGGATGTAACACAACATCATAGATCATATTTAAATGGCAGTGTTAATAAATTCAGCAGCACAATTAATATTTTATCAATTATCATTTTTCCTGAAAGAATATAATTTATTTTACTACATCCTTACCACTGAATAGTGGAAGATATTACATGCATGATGAGAGAAAACTTTTAATTTAAAAATTATACAGGAATGTTCTTAGAAAAGATAAGACTTCGTATAAATGAAGACCACACAAATCATCTTATCTATGTGATTACAAATGCAAATAGGGCTGGGTGCCATGGAACATGCCCATAATCTCAGAGGCTCAGGAGGCTGAGGCAGGAGGATTGCAAGTTCAAGGCTATCCTGGGGGCAATTTTTTTTTTTTTTTTTTTTAGAGAGAGAGAGAGAGAGAGAGAGAGAGAGAGAGAGAGAGAATTTTTTTAAATATTTATTTATTTTTTAGCTTTTTGGCGGACACAACATCTTTGCTTGTATGTGGTGCTGAGGATCGAACCCAGGCCTCACGCATGCCAGGCAAGCGCGCTACCGCTTGAGCCACATCCCCAGCCCTCCCGGGGGCAATTTAACAAGACCTTGTCTCAAAATAAAAAATAAAAAGGGCTGAGGTATTATAGCCACCCCTGCATTTGATATCCAGAACTGAAAAAGGGAATATAGGAAATATAAGATAACATATATAAGAAGAGAATTATTCAGCCAGGTGCAATGGCACACACTTGTAATCCCAGTGGCTCAGGAGGCTAAGGCTAAGTTCAAAGTCAGCCTCAGCAAAAGCAAGGTGTGTGCTAAGCAACTCAGTTGAGACCCTGTTTCTACATAAAATATAAAATAGGGTTGGGGATATAGCTCAGTGGTTGAGTGCCCCTGAGTTCAATCCCTGGTACCCCCAAATATGAAGAGAATTATTCAATATTTTATAGTATACTCATATGCAAAAGAACTATCAGCCATTAAATGTGTTTTAAAAATTTCGTTAAAATTTTGTGTTTAAAGAAAGATACTAATGCTCACAATTCAATATTTTAAAAGCAATATGTAAAACTATATAACTAAAGAATTCCATTTATATAATATACATGTAAATACACATAAATGAATAGCAAAGAAAAAATTGCTCAAAAATATTCTAAAGTGTTATCAGTGATTTTCAGTGCTTATTCCATGTGGAATAAGGCAATTTTATTTTTTTTTCTTTTTGATATTTTATATGTTCCAAATATCTTACAACATATAAAAATTATTTGTGTAATTTAAGAAGCTCAATTTTTTAGAACTTTTTAAAAGGAACAAAATGTAAAGATAGCTGAAATCTCACCTCAGAAACAAGATGTAGGCTTTTACATCTATGTCCTAGAATATAGTAAACATTATGTGCTTTAAAAATACCATGCTACATATTTAAAACTTGTTATCCATTTTAACAAAAATATTTTTCCTAATAATAATAATCATATTATTTAAGTCAAGAGAATATTCTATTTAATTATAATTGTGTATAATAGCATTTTTGCTTTTAAAAATAATATATAGTCTATATAAGTCTATATAAAACCCTAGAAAGGGGAACATAAGCCAAAATTGTTTATAGTAATTATCTTTGGCAGTGATGAGAGAGGGGAATATGGATAGTTACAGTGCCTTTTCATGTTTTTTACCATCACATTTCAGTTGTTTGTAAAAAGCACATATTGAAGTTAGGAAAAAATTAAAAATTAATGAAAATTCAACAAAATACGTCATACAAATGAGGTCAGTTATATGGTGTAACTTAAGTTCATATACCCTATATCAGAAGTGTATATTTTTATTTATACATTCATATGTATATATTTTTTAAGATATTTTTTAGTTGTTGATAGATCTTTATTTTTATTTATTTATACATGGTGCTGAGAATCGAACCCAGTGCCTCACACATACCAGGCAAGTGCGCTACCACTGAGCCACAGCCCCTGTTGTATTTTTTTTAATTAGACAAACTATTTCTTTTTTTATTATTTATTTATTTATTTATTTATTTATTTTTAGATGTAGATGGACACAACACAATGCCTTTATTTTTATGTGGTGCTGAGGATCAAACCTGGGTCCCGCCCATGCTAGGCAAGCCCTCTACCCCTGAGCCACAACCCCAGCCCCTCCCTGTTGTATTTTTAATATATGTATTTTTTCCAGAATTTCTTGATGGAAAGGAAATAAAAAATGTGGAAAGACAATTCCTAGTAAATTGGAAAGCATCCAAAGAAGCTAGAAAAATCAGCAAGAAAAGGAACAGTAAAAATGAGTGTGAAATCAACTCTTATATAAGTAAGTTCACTATCCTTCAGTAACTACTCATTAACTTGCCACTTCAAGAACATGGATAGTCTAACAAACAAAAAACTGTCAAGAAAGAAGGAGGGCTTTGTTTAGATTTAAGGTTTTTAAAATTTTGTTACTTATTTACTTAGCTGTGAATGAAGATTAAATGCAATTTATTGCTAGGAAATGAAAATGGTAGCCACTATAAATAAAACCTATGGTTGGTTTGTACTGGGTATGACTATCAGCCATACAAACATAAGGCCACAAAGTGGGAAAAATGTGTGATTTTATTCCAGCAAAAGTGTATGATACAAATGGTCAATAATTATATGTAAAAAATATTCAACATCTTTAACCATCAGGGAAATACAAGTAAAATCTACATTGAACTTCTATCTCATCCCAATCAGAATAGCCATTATCAAGAAAATTTAAAAATAGCAAGTGCTAGTAAGAATGCAGGAAGAAAAGGAACTGTGCACACTATTGTACAGCCACTGTGGAAATCAGTAAGGAGGTGCCTCAAAAAAATAAAAAAAGAACTACCCTATAATCCAGCAATATCACTCCTGAATATGTACTTGAAAAAAATCAAAGCATACAATGGAAAACCTGCATACCCATTTTTAACAAGGCAGCATTCATAATATAGCTAAGCTATGAAGTCAGCACAGATGCCCATCAAAAGATGAGTGGATAAAGAAAATGTAGTATATATACATAAGACAGTATTACTCAGCCATAAAGAACAACAAAATCATGTTATTCACAGGAAAATGGATAGAATTGGAGATCATCATTTCAAGCAAAATAAGCTGACAAGTATCACATGTTTTCTCTCCTATGTGATCTCTAGGGGTGGAGGAGACAACATGAAGTAGAAGGGGAAGAAGATTGGGAGAGAGGGCAAGGGAGGCAAGAAAGGATAACAGGAAGAGTGGATATGATCAGTATATATTATATATACATGTATGAAAATGTAATGAAGAAACAGCCTTTTGCAATTAATATGCACTAATTATAATAAAGCTGGGTGTGGTAGTACATTTCTGTAATCCAAGCTAGTCAGGAGATTGAGATAGGAGGCTTACAAGTTTGAGGCAAACCTGGACAACATAGTGAGACTCTTTCTTAAAAAAAAAAAATGAACAGAACCAATAAGTATATGTTACAGTACGTAAATGGTAAAACAATAATCAGCCATGCAAATTGTGAAACCTAACTCACTAATATATTTATTTAGGAACAGTACAGACATCAAGATAGAAAATAAAAATGTATCACAACTGCATCTGGCCTATACTCTGTAGTCTATCTCCCTTCTTATGCACATACCTCAAAACCTAAATATTTGGATTTAAAATATGCCTAAGGTTGTGCTTACAAAGGACACAGCAACCTCAGTGGGCACTGTAATTATATGCCTGTAATCCCAGTGACTTCAGAGGTTTATAAGGCAGGAGGATTCTAAATTCAAGGTCAGCCTGGTCAACTTAACAATACTTTGTCTCCAAATAAAGGGCTGGGAATGTAGCTCAGTGTTAAAGCTCCCCTGGGTTCAATCCCCAGTACTGAGAGAGAGAGAAAAAAAGGAGATTTTTCTCTACTGAGAGAAAAAAAAGAGACACTAACCTCCCTTGCTTAACTAGCAACTAAATGTAACTAATTGTAATGTATAACAGTTGTCTTTAATATATTTGAAAGCATCCTAGAATTAACTCTTCACAAATTCTGTAGTCCCAAACATTGCAATGAGCCTAATCCTTCCTTCCATGATAGTATTTGGATGTTCACGTTTTTGTTCCACAGCTGACTATGGCAGGGGATGAGGGGCATAGCAAAGGGTTTAGGCCCAGAGAAAGGGAAAGGCAAACAGGAACAGTGTAATAACTCTTTATTCAGATATTATGGATGTTGTATCCTAGGAATTTTGTCACTCTAGAACAAGAGATTGAGCTAAGGAGGAGCAGGGCTGAAAAGGCATGCAGCTCTGGTGATCTTGTTATATCATGTCCATTGAATATGAACTATGCAATATCATTTAAGAGAAGGGGACTTTGGTATCTGACAGTACATACATGAGAGTTACTGTTTGCTAAGTGAATTTTCATGGTCTGAAACTTGGGAAATAGCAAAAATTTTTCCTCTATTAATCTTTCCCCCTTACTGGCTGTGAAGGGCAGGATGAGGTCCAGGGTAAGAATGACAGAATTATAAGTATTTTCAGTATTACATTGAAGATGCCAAAGCACTTTTTTAATATTGAAGTAACTACAGAATTCAATACCAATGCACACCCAAAGTTAAGCCTATGCTAAAAATAATTGAGTTTTTTCATCTTAGTATATTTTAAATTCAAGGACAAAAAATAAATTAATTTTTAATTTCTCCCAATGAAATTTGACAAAATAATGGTTGTAATGTGTCTTAAAGTTTCTAACTTTTTAAAATTACAGTCAATTTTCTCAAGACAAGCCTTATCTTTTTATAATCTAGTGTGATACCCAATTACCAAAAACAAACTTTAAGATTATAGAAATCCATTAATATCAAAGAATCTGAAAAGGAAATTAGTAAAACTATCCCATTTCAATGAGAGAGCATCAATAATAAAATACTCCAGAATCAACTTAATTCTTGAGATGAAAAACTTGTATTCTAAAAACTATAAAACAATGATAAATAAGACACAATGAAAAGACTTCCCATGTTCATGAACTGGAAGACTTAATATTATTACAATATCCATATGACCAAAAGTGGTCTACAGATTCCAATCAATGCCTATCAAAAAATCCCAATGACATTTTTTACAGGAATAGAAAAAATTCTAAATTCATATGGACCCACAAAAGATCACCAATAGTCAAATCAATTTAGAGAAAAAAGAATAAAGCTAGAGGAATCACATTTCCTGATTTCAAAATAATAGTACAAAGTTATAGTAATCAAAAAGGTATGAAACTTGCCTAAGACAAACATATAAGAGCAATGGAATAAAAGAGAGCCAAGAAAAAAATTCACACATATACAGTTAATTGATTCTGCCAAGAATATACAATGGGGAAAGGAGAGTCTCTTCAACAAGTGTCACTGGGAAAACTGGATATCCACATGCAAAAGAAAGGAAACTGAATCCTTTTCTTACAGCGGATTCAAATATCAACTCAAATGGATTAAAGTTATGAAGACTTGAAACTATAAAATTTCTAGAAGAAATCTCTAGGGGACAGTTTCATGGCATTCATGTTGGCATTGATTTCATGATTGTTGACACTAAAAGCACAAGCAACAAAAACAAGAATAAATAAATGGAACTACATCAAACGAAAGAGCTTCTGCACAGCAAAGGAAACAACAGAGTGAAATCTACAGAATTAGAAGAACATATTTTCAAACTATACATCTGATAGAGGTTAATCTCCAATATGTATGGGGATTTTTACAACTCCGTGGCAAAATAACAACTAATAACCTAATTTAAAATTGGGTTATGGATTTGAATATCTCCAAAAAAGATATAAAAATGGCCAGCAGGAATATGAAAACAAAATTCAATGTCACTAATTATCAGGAAAATGCAAATCAAAACCCAAGAAGTGGGGGCTGGGGTTGTGACTCAGTGGTAAAGCACTTGCCTAGCACATGCAAGATGCTGGGTTCGATCCTCAGCACCATATAAAAATAAATAAATAAAGGTATTGTGCCCAATTACAACATATATATATATACATATATATATATACATATATATATGTATATATATATATACACACACACACACACACACACACACACACACACACAATAAGTGCCCAGTGCAGTGAGATATGCCTTGATCCCAACAGCTTGAGAGGCTGAGCTGAGGCAGGAGAATCTCAAGTTCAAAGCCAGCCTCAGCAAAAGCAAGGTGCTAAGCAACTCAGGCCCTGTTTCTAAATAAAAATACAAAATAGGGCTGGGGATGTGGCTCAGGGGTTAAGTGCCCCAAGTTCAATCTCTGGTACCACCCCCCACTGAAAAAAAAAGTTTTCAGCTCATACCTGTCAGGGTAGCTATTATATTTGGGGTTCCTGGTGGATGGAAAGGAAAAGACTTGAGTGGTTGAGTGCTTTGCCTAACATGCTCAAGGTCCTGGGTTGGATCCCCAGCACCGCCAAAAAGAAAAAGGGGAAAAAAGAAGATACTTGTTGGCAAGGCTGCAGAGAAATGAGAACCTCTGTACACTTTATAGAAATGCATTGTGCAGCCACTCTGACAAAAGAGTTTGGAGGTTTCTCAAAGAGTTAAAAAAAAAAGCCTCTTATATAACCTAGCAATCTCACTTCTGAATATTCAAAAGAATAAAAATCAGAATCTCTAAGAGATATTAGTGCATTTATACATAAAATGGAACATAGAACACTATTCAGCCTTTAAAAAATGCCAGAAATTAGGCAATGTGCTAGAACATGGACAAACTTTCAGCAAACAAGCCAGTCACAGACACACTTCATGATTCCACTTATATCTAAGATTATCAAATTCATGGAATGCTTTTGCCAGAGGTTGGGGGCATGGGAGTTATAAATCAGGCATAAAGTTTCAGTCAAGCAAGATGAATAAGCTCCAGAGATCTGCTATACAAGATTGTACCTAAAGTCAACAATGTAGGAGACACTTTAAAATATTTTCAAGAAGATCTCATGTTACATGTTCTTGCTACAGTTTTTTAAAATATTTTTTAGTTGTCGATGATGGGCATTTATTTTATTTATTTGTATGTGGTACTGAGAATCTAACCCAGTGCCTCACTCATGCTAGGCAAGTGTGGTACCACTCAGCCACAACCCCAGCCCTTGCTACAGTTTTTAAAAGATATAAAATATTATAGTATAGAAGCTTCCATTTGTATATGTAGTTCTAGAATGATAATCATTAATAATTTAAAATGGAAAGCACTCAGGTGTAAAAGAAGAGGGAGAAAGAGAAGAAAAGAGAGCTGATATATATTATGTAAATATATCAGATATTTATATACATTAATGCATTTAATCATATAACCTGTGGGGCAGATCCAGTTTGCAGGTGAGAAAGCTGAGTTTCAGAAAGATTGAGTGATTTGTATGAGGTCACAACATTAGGAGAGGTTATTTAACTTCATAAAATAGATTTGATCTAAATAAATCAAGTTATTTAACTTCATAAAATAGAGTTGATTTCTAATCAACACTCTAACATTGGCTGGATTGTGACTATAAATACCATAATGACTTCTCTACTTAAAAGTTCACTTCAGTTTGTGGGGGCAATTTAGGAAAATCTGCAGATATGGAAAGATGTGATATGTAAATGATTTTTTAATATTTATTTTTTAGTTGCAGTTGGACACAATACCTCTATTTCATTTATTTATATTTATGTGGTGCTGAAGATCAAACCCAGGGCCTCCCATGTGTGAGGCAAGCGCTCTACCACTGAGCCACAACCCCAGCCCCATAAATGATTTTTATAAGTAAAAATGAGCTAGAAGAAAAAATGGGATAATATATTGTGAAGCTACTTAAAATTGAAGAGCATATTCAAATAGATTATGATATATTAGATCAAAAACTAAACTTATTAAGATCAAATAAAATAAAATTTAAAATGAAGACTGACTAGCTGCAATAGAAAATTATCTGGACCTTCCTCACAAGTTATTCTCCCTGATCAGTTGTGGATCCCTTCATCATCACCCCTGCACATTTTCCATCCCCATCCAGTTGGTATCGAACTGAGTCTCTCAGGCTTAAAAGCAATGACACTACTAAGATACATGTGTGTAATGTGCAGTCATTTTATTTTTATGTATGTGATCAATAGCAGCACATAGGTTTTACGTAAGAAGCTCCTTTATTACTACTGACAAGAAAGAAAATGCATGAATTAAAACTAAAGGATAGATTATGTAATTTTTAAATCTACACTATCCTTTCAGGTCTTTTTTTTCCTTATGAACATAATAACACAGCCCCTTTTCAGCTCTTTAGAAGAGCAAAGATGAACCTTTTAAAGTTACCTCTACACAACCAAGTACATTTTATGTGAATTGGAATTCTTAAGAAGATAGTAATCTTTTTGTGTGTGTATGTATGTGGTGCTGGGGATCAAACTAGGGCCTGGTACATGCTAGGTAGGCACTCTATCACTAAGCTACAGTGGTACTAATTTTTGTACATGTTAATCTTTTACATTTTTAAATGTTCTTGATAGCTTTGTAAGTTTGGAGTTCTAAACTGAGAAATAGAGTCAAATTGTAGGGATTATAATTTCTGATTTAGATTATATGTCAAGGATCCTACAATTAAAAAATAATATTACCCTGGGGATGGGGTTGTAGCTCAAAAGTAGAGCGCTTGCCTAGCAGGCGTGAGGCATTGGGTTCAATCCTCAGTACCACATAAAAGTAAATAAATAAAGGTACTGGGTTCATCTACAACTAAAAAAATATTACCCTAACTATGGCCATATAACTCAAAATGGGGAACTTAATCAAATACTTTAATAAAATTTAAAACATACATATTGTTTAGTATTTATTTGCATAGTGCTCTTATGGAAAATTCACATATTTGTTTATTAAACATTTGTTAAAGGGGGCTAAGGATGAGGCTCTGAATACACTCCCAACCCCCCAAAAATTAATAATAATAATGCCTAGTATTATTCAAGGCACTGATGACTAGAGATAAATAAGGTAGTCCCCACTCAAAAGGACATGACTAGTAGAAAGGAGAGGCAATGTGTAAACAGGTAAATGTTGAATGCCAAATAAAGGTCTGAACATATCCCAAAACTTATACATGTCTAAATCCCAAAGGCACTTTGAAAAAACATATTAACTCAGAACATCAAAATTCAAAGGAGTTATATTAATGTTAGCATACCAATTTTGTAAGAGTTGACCATAAACTCTCCTGTATAGGTTTTTTTAAAATATTTTTTAGTTGTAGATAGACACAATACCTTTATTTATTTATTTATTTTAAAGAGAGAGTGGGGAAGAGAGAGAGAGAGAGAGAGAGAGAGAGAGAGAGAGAGAGAGAATTTTTTAATATTTTTTTTTAGTTCTCGACGGACACAACATCTTTGTTTGTATGTGGTGGTGAGGATCGAACCCGGGCTGCACGCATGCCAGGCGAGTGCGCTACCGCTTGAGCCACATCCCCAGCCCAATACCTTTATTTAATTAATTTATTTATTTTTATGTAGTGCTGAGGATCAAATCCAGTGCCTCACACATGCTAGGCAAGTGCTCTACCACTGAGCCATAGCCTCAACCCTACAGGTTTTTAATGTATAAAAATTGTGATATTTTAGGGGCTGGGGTTATAGCTCAGTAGTGGTAGAGCACCTGCCTCTCATGTTGAAGCACTGGATTCAATCCTCAGCATCAGAATAAAAATAAATAAACAAAATAAAGATATTGTATCTAACTATAACTAAAAATATTTTTTAAATCTGTGCTATTTTATCATTGATTTTACTGTGAATTCATTTAGCTTTGACTCTTTATAAAATATAATTTTAGATAATCTACTGTAATATATCATTGTTACAACTCAGTTATTAGTTTCAAAGCAGGATGCTTTTAATTCTTTGTATGCTACAGGTAACTTTGAAACAATGCATCACATAGTTCCTGTTTATTACCCACAGGTGGGTAAGCCAAAATTAGTCTTTTTCTCCGACTCACAGAGATTTCTTTTAAATGGAAATACATCTCCAGAAAGCTGCCAAGAAGATAACACTAAAATTATTGAAGATATGGGGTAGGTTCTTTCAAATATTTCTATTATTTTTCAGAGGGATGGGACATCTGATCATCAATACAGATGTAGGGAGGCCCTCCGTTTGTTCTCAAATCCTCCTTATCCAAGCACAAAACAAAAAAAACAAAAAACTGCACTATTGGTCAGTCATAAAGTTGCAGTGGAAGAAGTAGTTCAGAAGAGTTGGGAGTTAGACTAGATACAGTCACTGAGTTGGGGCAGGGTGACTCAGGAAAGTCCCAGAAGACATAGGTAAATATGTCTGAATGATCAGGGATCATATCATAGGCCCCAGTTGACCATGGGTGCCCAACCAGTGTGTATGTGTTGAGGGGTGGGCATTGGGGCAGAGACTGCAGTAAGGGCATAGAGTTACAGAAAGGATTTAGAGCCCAGAGGACTAAGTAGACTCCTTTGACCACTTTCCAAACCAAAAGTTCTATGAGGGAGTCATTAGAAGTTTCATTAGATTTTCAAAGGAGTTTATGATCCAAAAAATAGTTCTAAGAATCATCATTCTAAAGATTGATCTATACATAATTTAGTTCCATATGAATCAGCTCTAAATCTCCCAAAAGGAGAAAAGTGCTTATTTTTTAAAATTAGGATATTGTTTCCATGTAGAGATAAACCATATCAGAAAATGACTATATTTATTCTAAAACAGACACCTGCCATATGCCAGAATATAAAAATTTAAATAAGATAATCTTAATCTCAAATACCTTGCAACAAGCTATGTAGGGAGTCAAATATGATAAAATTGCTGTAGTATGATAAATGCTATGGGCATTATAAACCAGATCCTACTTCATCCTATAAATTATTCATTCAGATTTTTAATTTGTAATCAGTACTATTCTGTATTGATCTTTCCAGTCCTATCACACCAAACATTACATATAACAAAGAGCAATAGCATACTTCATTGAGAAAATAATCAGAGCTAGGAGACATATTTTGGAATAGTTTTATTTTCCCCACAACTTCTTGATGAAGGTCAGATGGGTCTCTCATGATACCTTCTTTGCATCTCTAGCAGAGCCCACCTGAAGAAGCTCTGTAAGCAACACTGATGCATTGTCCTACCCACTCCCTGCAGTGCAGCTTGGGCTTGCCAGGCTTATCTGTGAGTCTGGAAATTTGGGGAGAAGAGAGAGAATACATAGAGATTGCTCTCCAATCACAACCAAACAGGAGCTGTGTGAGAATTTGCTTTACTCCTTACATACATTGTCATTACTATCAAAGCCATAGCCAGTTTGTCCACAGCACCCTGATAATTTCTTAAAGACTGACATAACTGATACAAATTCCACAATAGTATTCTTGAGTTTTTTTTTGCCAAGCATTTTGAAAAATATTGCTAGTATAACATCAATGTGGAAAATTGAACAATAAAAATATACACAGCCTCATAAAACAAAGTTGATAAATTCTATACATTGCCACAAACATACTAAGTTAGATTAGTCAGATAACTAGGGTTGCAATGATGAAAGCAAGTAAACCACTCTGCCCTTATTTTCCTAACTAGGAACACTATAAATTCTCCCATACTGCAAAGGCAAGCTGCCCTAAAGGAAGCTAGCAGAATAGTGGGGTTCCTTTGAGAAGAACATAAAGAATGCCTGCTTCTGCAGTTGTCAGTGAAGTTAACTATGTACAATTCTGAGTTTTCAGCTTTATCCCATGAAAAAAATATTACATAAATATTTTCTTTTAAATGTTTATTATTTCTTCAGGTAACTTTTTTACTGCAGGCATGCCAAAATGTTGTTTTGGTGTCTCAGAAGATTTGAGTTTTATTACATGGGAATATAAGTTATGTCCCTCTTTAAGAAGAGACAAGGGGCTGGGGTTGTGGCTCAGCAGTAGAGCACCCACCTAGCACATGCAAGGCCCTGGGTTCAATCCTCAGCACCACATAAAAATAAATAATTAATTAATATAATATTTTTAAAAAAGAGGAGACCAAATACATTGTGGAATTTCATCAAGCTCTTGTTTCAGATTTTTCAGGATTGCCTATGAATAACATTTTAGTAAGTTAATATAAAGCTAAGATATAATGAGAATAAAGTTAGAAGGTCAGTAAAATGTTAAAATACCCAGGTTAGGGCTATAGCTTACTGACAGAGCACTTGCCTGGCATGTACAAGGCCTTGCACCCAATCCCCCAGCATGACAAAAAAGAAAGAAAGAAACAAAAAGAACAACAAAACCCAACTGAACAAAACACAAGGAATAGGTTTTCAGTTTCTAGAAAACTGATTAAAGCAACCTCTTCCCTTAATTACTTTAAGGAAGAGAATGAGTTGGCATCAGCAGAGGCATTCCCTATACCTCTCTAACATTTAAAGTGAAGTGCCTGCACAGAAGTGGCAAAGGGCTTAGAACGCATCTCCCAAAAAGCGAAAAGTATGTTCAACACTCCTTTTAGGATTCCACATGCTGGGAGTTGTGCCTGTGTCCTGTGTGGAGCACAGTGAAGCAACATCTGTCCAAAGACAGGGGAATGTTTTCTACCTCTTTTATAATTGCATGCCGTCTGTGTTCATGTATATTTACATAAGCCTGCTTTCCCTACAGGGAGGAAAAAGTCAGACTCATTGACGTTGTTTTTGACCCTCAAACTGAACTTGATACTATCAATGTACACTTTAATTAAAGATTAGGTCAAAACTTTTTTATTTAAAGGCTGATTCTGAACAAATGCTTTCACTGTTCAATTAAAAATAATATATGGTATTAAACTAACAAAAAAGGGTACACATTATAGCCTCTTTCTCTGTTTGTCACAGTAAATACTTCTGACAGATGTTTCCACTCAAACATACTAGGAGGTGCTTGAGCCTTAGTAATTTAAAAATAGACATTAAATATACTCATATTTAAGACTCATTGAGAATACTTTACAGCACTGTATAATGAAAAAAGAAAATTGTTTCTTGATTACTTAACTATCTCTCAAGCCCAAGCAATCTCAATAGTTAATCAGTCTTTTTTTGTGTCAAAATAAGTTTCTAGCTGGGTTTAGAACTCTCTTGATTAGATACCATTAAGAAATATCAGTCCTTGGGACCTATAATTCACAGGTTTCTTTGAATTAAAAAGTTAACTTGAGTAGTTTCTCTAAATTAAAAAGTTAGGTTTCTTTGTTTGAATTAGGTCTCTTTGATTTAAAAGGTGAACTGGAGTTGAGGCTCAGTGGTAGAGCACTTGCCTAGCACAATGAGACACTGGGTTCGATCCTCAGCACCACACAGAAAAATAAATAAATAAATAAAGTTATCCAAATTTTTTTTTAAAAAAGGTTAACTATAATAGTTAAAATAACTTGCCTTTGCCAATGTTATGTTTGAACCGTTGTAAAAACAGTTCAGTGTGCTTTCAAAAAGAATTTGTAAAACTTAGTTAATATTTATAGTCAAAAAACTCTAGAATGTTCTTATATAAAACTCACTTGCAAAGTTCAAAATGCCTTTAATTTTACTTTGTTAAATTGTTAAACCTAACCTCAGGCTATTTAATTTTATATACAAATAAGGTTAACATTTGGGGCTGGGGCTGGGGCTCAGTGGTAGAGTACTCACCTGGCACATGTGAGTCACTGGGTTCCATCCTCAGCACCACATAAAAATAAAATAAAGGTATTGTGTCCACCTACAACTAAAAAAAATAAGGTTAACATTTTGATTTTCAGTTCTCAAAAACTCTTTCAAAATTAGGATACCTACTTCCCTCCAAAAAAAGCAATAGTGGTAAGAAACAATTTTTTTTAAAAATTTGAACAGACTAAATTAGTTTTTGTGACTTTTAGTCTCAATTCTGTCAATGGCATACTATGTGAACAGGAGTTTATGAGACCTAATTAAAAAGAATTGTATTAGCTATTTTCCATTTTAACATGCCTATATTTTGAAAGCTGAATCTTAATTATCCAAACAAATTTTTAAACACTGGAGCCCTTTGAGAAAGGAATAACAGTCAACCCCATTTTACAGATGAGAAAATGGGACTTAAAGAAGCAAATTCAAAGGAATCTAGATCACTGACTCTCAAATAGCTAAGCTCTGAGCTTCTCCATTAAGGGGTCTTACACATGTTCTCAGGGACAGATAGGCACAGTAAATAAGAGAAGCAGTTGAGGAGGTGACTAAGATGAATTGTAGAGCACATGTCCAACAAAGACAGTTATAGCTATTCAGCTCTAGAACAGTATAGGCAGGCAGACATGGCCGAACTTGAGAAATCAGACTAGCTAGCTGGCAAGCAAAATATCGAGATTGTGAAATCATCTGATTTCAAAATATTGGCTTAATTTTAAAAATTCATTTATTTATATGTGGTGCTGAGGAACCTAGTGCCAGGCAAGCGCTGTACCTCTGAGCCACAACCCCAGTCCCTAACTCAATTTTTTTTCTTAAAAATTTATGTACTAGAAAAAAAAATTAAAGAAACTAGTAGTACTGGCTAAGAAAGGAATTCTCATGTACTACTGATGGGAATGCAAAAATAAGATGGTCACTTTGTATAATAATTTGATGAAGTTCCACCTCTAGGTATTTTCCCAAGTGAAATAAAAAATTATACTTAAAAAAACCTGTACCTTAATGTTTATAATGGTTTATTTGTAATCAAACTGAAAACATCCAAATGGTGTCTCAGCTGAGGAATGGATAAACAATCTGTGATACATCTTTACAATAGAATACCACTCAGCAATGAAAAGGAATGAACGATTGATATATTCAAAACCATGGATGGGTCTCAAAAGCATAATGCTAAGTGAAAGAAGCTAGACTCAGAAGGCTCCAATACTGTATGCTTCTATTTGTTTTATGGCAAAGGCAAAAATCATAGAGACAGAAAACAGATCAATAGTTTCCAGGAACTGAGGGTTGGTAAAGGATTGACTTACATAGAGTCAGGGAATTTGAAGGAAGGATGATAAAAATGTTCTGCATCTTTATTGTGGTGGTGATTATAAGACTGCATATGTTTATCAAAACTTGAACTATACACTCAAACAGGTAAATTGAACAAACTATGAGGGAAATAGCTGAAAGGCAAAGGAAAGTACCATTAATGTAATTGTTCTATATACATGTAAAATATATCTTGTGTTTTACATAAATGTTTTATAAAACCTTTTTATTCACTGATGTGTGATATTTGCCTTATAAAGGTAATCTTATCAAGTTAACAGTGCAACTTGACATATTTAGGAAAAAAAGACTTAATTCTAAGACCTACACTACAATCAGAGAAATAAAAATCTGTAGTACTCTTTTTGGAAGACTATACAATTGAGAACTGCAAGGAAAGATACTCTACGAAAATAGGAATTGGATTGGAATCAAATTATTTAAATTATGTATTTTATTGAAATTAATAGATGCAAAAAAACATTTGGCATATTATAAAATATTCTATAAATACTAAATAGAAGAGCACAGTGAGGCCTGGGCCTGGGGCTTAGCAGTAGCACACTCATCTCACATGTGTGAGGCCCTGGGTTGGATCCTCAGCACCACATAAATAAAATAAAGGTATTGTGTCCACCTACACATCAATCTGCTTAGTTTGGACCGTGTTTCAACCACTTTCTAACTATGTGGCCTTGGACAAGTTACCTAAACCTGCTGACCTTCTATTTTCCCAATTGGAAAAAGGGAAATTTTGTAAAGACTAAATGAGAAAATACCTCTAAAGCACTTAGCACATATAGTGCTAGATACGAGGCACCTCTTACTAATTATGTAATAAAAGAAATTCCAGGCTTCTCATAATTTGAATTTAATTAAAAATATGGGTTTCCTGGGGCTGGGGCTGGGACTCAGTGGTAGAGCACTTGCCTAGCATGCTGAGGCACTGGGTTTGATCCTCAGCACCACATAAAATTAAATAAAATAAAGACAAGCTATCTGTCTACAACTACAAAAATTTTTTTTTCAAAAAAAATATGGGTTTTCTTCAGAAATTAGAAATACTTAGATTCATCCAAGAGGCTGATTAGAGTGGCAGAAGTTTGAATAAGCAAGTTGGTCTTGTTATCATCAGTCCTTTCTTTCTCCACCTGTTGAGCAACATAGCCATGTCACTGCCTAGCCATGTTGGCAGTGAAGAGCCTTGTCCTTCCTCCACATCATCATACATAAGCAGGCAACTCTAACAGGCTGGGCCAAGAGTGCAAAATTTAAGGAGCTCCAGGCACCTCACTTGCCTCCCCTTAGCCTGGGTCAACCTTCCCTCCAATATTCTAATTTCCATAACTCTCCCAACTCAGATTTTTCACATTTTTCCAAAGCAGGAAAATATGTGTTTCTGCTTCATTTTAAACTCTCCTTGAAAAGATTAAAACTTTGGTGACTAATTATTAGCCTCTACTATCATTGTATCCTGGATTCTGTTTGTGGGTTTTTTAAAAATACTTTTAAACTAAACACTTTTTTTCTCTTTATGCATACAGGAATCTCTCTTTGAAGGAATCTGAAACCTTGCTAACAAAAAAATGATGTGCATGAATCTCATCTTCTCTATAATCCAAAAGTAAAAGAAAATTTGCTGAAACAAGTAAATTCAGCTTCAAGTGATCTTATTTTTTTAACTTCATAAAACTTGGCAACATTTTTTGAGTTTTTAGCTTTATGGTATCTTAGTATATAAGAGTTCTTTAATTTCTTGCTTGATTTGCTTCTTTATAGAATCTCAAATTTTGCTTTCCATGAGTGAGAGTTCAAAGATCTATTTGCCTTATTACTCATTACATACAATTTACTGGGGAAATAAAGATGAGCTTTCCTATTCAATAGAGGGCCTTTTTGAATCAATGGAATTTGGGTGTGCCTCTTTCTAAAGTGTGAATCTAATTACAGTTATTGAATGAGAACAGATTTTAGAAACCCAAAGATCCTTCTGATTTACAAATATACTTAATGTTTGGACTGGTACATCCGAATATAACAAATACCACCATTACTATCTACAGCTTGGTAATTTCACTTTGGAAAGTTAGAAAGCTACTGGAAAGCATACAAAAACATATTATAGACAAGAGCAGTTTCTTTGATGACACTTTAAATTTGATATTATTTAGTTACCCCCAAAGAAAAGAATGTTCCAATTGTAGACATTGTTTCTAATATGTCCTAATTACGTTGCTAGAAAGTATTGTGTGTCCACTCAGACTTCACCCGGGAAAACGACGGGTGCAGGACGCACGGCAGCTTTATGGTATCTCATAGTATATAAGAGTTCTTTAATTTCATGTTTGATTTGCTTCAAGGAAATCGGAGGGTTGGGAGAGTCAGAGCGGAATGCTCTGTCGGAATCGGCTTGGGGGCGCAGCGCCGGTTTATAAAGAAGCTTTGGATGGGGTTTTTCCTTGCACTGCTGCAAACCACACTCCGTTTGGGGGCACAGGTGCAAAGCCAGTAAAGAATTGTATGTCTGAGAAATTAAAATTAAAAAGCTGTTGCCCCGAGGGATGACAGAATCGCGGGCTAGGGTCCGCATGCCTGGGGACAGTTCCTAAAACATAACAACGGGAACATTCGAGGTCTTATGCAAGGTGCAGTTTTGTCTCACAGTGCCTACCTAACCTGGTCACGGAGTACTGAAGTGGGGGGACTACTACTATGCGTAATGAGGACAGCATGAAATATTTACCTTGTGGTAGGATAAAAAAAAAAAAAAAGCTAATGCATAGACGTGGCACACTCGACATTCCTCACAAAGTTGTCTCGCGCAACCAAACGGCGTTCCCTGCGCGGGTCTGGAAAGGGACCTGGAATCCGACTGGGGCCAGGTGGAAGGACAGCGGCGAGGTTAGACCCTTTCCCACCCTAGGAACACCCCCAGCGCTGGACGCTGCACCCCCCCCCCCCCCGCGCGCCCCGCCTCTGGGAAAGCTGGGCGCAGCGCGGGAGCTGAGAGGCGGACGCCCCACCCCCTGGCCCGCCCTGCCCGGCGGTTTGATTAATGAGTCTCGCTCTGCCAAGGTTCCTCGAGGCCTCAGCCCATAGAGTTACCCCCGCAGGGGCGCAGGCCTCCCCCCGACGTGCTGTCGCGGTGGAGGTACGTACTCATGGCCTCGGGGATCCCTACATAAAAGGCGTGACTAGAAGAAGCTGAAAGCAGCCTTTGGCTTTAACTGGACAACGATGGAGTAATCCACGCGGCCCTGTCTACGCAGACCCGGCTTGACGTCCCCGTTCCCTTGCACAGCAGATCCAAGACCCGCAAGGCGGCTCCAGGAAAGGTGAGGTTTCCGGTCCCTCTCGCTCCGCACAGTTCGCAACTTTATAGCGGTGGCCGGTGCCTTAGTCCAGGGTGAGGCCAGGGGTCCCCGTTTCTCAGGCGGAAATTTCCCAAGGGCGCAAATGACCCGAGGGCGGCCGGTGTGCCACCTCGCGTGGTTTCTCGCCTAGCCGGCCAAAATGATTCGCAACACTTCCCGCGGGGCTGGCCGAATAACTGCTGGAGCACTAAGTGCCGAAACGGAGCTGTGCTTCCCAGATCTTCCTTCCCTGGTAGAGTTGCCCTTGAGCTTAATTTGTCCTGGAAAAAGCAAAGCCCACACCAAAAAGGCAAAACCCCTCTTCGTACTTTTACGAAGCTCAGAAACTTTGAGGTTCCACCGTTCTGCCCAGGCGCTGGAAGGCAGAACATCCCACTTCAAAAGAGCTCACCTCCGAGAAATCCTTAACCACGTCGAGCGGCCCGGCCGGTGCGCGGCGTCAGCTAGAGGGTTGCACCCCTCAGGTTAAACCCAACCGCGCCCCGTCCTCACTGCGCTTTCGGTCCTTTGCAGCGCGCGCTAGGCACAGGAATCCACCATGGACCGCGGCCGGTCGGTGAACAGCCCGGAGAGCGCCAGTGCTGAGCCGGTGCCTCCGGCCACTGTCACCCGCGACACAAGCCCAGGGCGGATTGGGATCGGAGCGCGCTCCGGAGGCGGCCGGCCGGCCGCGGCGAACGCAGCGCGGGAGCGCAGCCGCGTGCAAACCCTGAGGCACGCCTTCCTGGAGCTCCAGCGCACGCTGCCGTCGGTACCACCTGACACAAAGCTATCCAAGCTGGACGTGCTGCTGCTGGCCACCACTTACATCGCGCACCTTACCCGCAGCCTGCAGGACGATGCCGAGGCTGCGGCGGATCCAGGTCTGGGAGCTTTGAGTGGCGATGGCTATCTGCACCCAGTCAAGGTAGGCGGGAGGGCACACTTCGGGGCTGGGACTGGGAGGAGGATACCTTGAATCTGCCTTTTCACCGCCTCGGCAGAAGCCACCGAGCTCTAGTTCCTCCTCGTGGGTGAGGAGACATCGGCCCGAGAGGGCACCGACATCAAGAACCCACTGCAAGAGGCTGCTGAATGAGTCCGTGGCTTAGACTGGAGTCTGTCATGCCCTTTTATAGGTTGTCAGTTTAAGGATTTTTGCACTTTTCAGGGTGAGAAAGTTTGGGTTATTTTAATTTCATTGTATTTTTGATGGGAAATTTGAAAGATATCACGAATGAAATGGAGTCATACAATTAATTACCTTCCTTTAAGTAATCCTAGGAAAACGTTTGAAATTGTTCGGTAACACCAAGAACAAATGAGACGGTTCTATATCTCCAAGAAACAAATTTTCAGTCTGTTTAAATAATGGTTAAAACCATAGACTAGACAGCTAGTAAGAATGTTAGAAAAGTATAATGTTTTATGTAGTTTTCATGATAGATTGGCATGTACATTGAGCGAATTGAATAAATATTATATTCAAAGTTTGTAATGTACAAAACTAGCCAAGACAATCCATTTTGCATAATTTGTTTACATATAGGTAGAATGATCACAGATGTCATTTAATATGATATATAGGACTAAAATTCATAATTTATATTGCATAATCTATATCATCCATTTCCCTTAGATTTGTTTTGAAACCTTGCATTAATTCAACTTCCTACTCGAAATGCATAATCTTTTCTATATTTGCTAACCCTAAATTTTCAAATTTTTGTTTCTTCCATTCTGAAGTATTTTATAACATACACACGCAAATACAAAATTAGGACTTAGGTTTAAGTATGTCATTGTTCAATAAATTAGTGAATAATCATTATTGAAATATGGTAAGGGCTGGGGCTGTAGTTCAGTAGTAGAGTGCTTGCATGGCAGGTGTGAGCACTGAGTTTAATCCTCAGCATCACATAAAAGTAAATAAAATAAAGGAATGCTGCCCATCTACAACTACAAAATTTAAAAAATAATTTTTAAAAATATGGTAAAGCGGGCTGAGTTGTAGCTTAGTGGTAGAGCGCTTGACCAGCACCTGTGAGGCACTGGGTTCCATCCTAAGCACCACATAAAATAAAGATATTGTGTCCAACTACAACTAAAAAATAAATATTTAAAAAATATATATGTATAAAATATCATTATTTATAATTAGGATAGACCCCCCCCCATCCCATTCCTGAGTTTTATAACATGATCTCTGTTAAAGTCATTCATTCTGATTGGATTTATATTACTTTGTGTATTAGATTGCTATTCATATATACCACTAATGTAGATTTCTTTTGACTTGACATTTGATGTTTACTCTAAAAAAGTTTAACATTAAGTATATTCTAACATAAACTATATGTTAAATTTCTCCTTTGTGGGAGCTATGATTCAGAATGAGAAATCAAGTTTTTCCCCTTAGTTTTACAGAGTGAGTTTTTTTAATGAATAATGTTAGAAGCATTAATGTTAGACTGTAACAGTAAGCATAACAAACTTTTTTATACTTAATTCATGTATCAAATATTTTTGTAGTCATATAACTGTTTTATGAAATTAAATCTCATTTGTTCTCTGAATTATTTTGACCGTTAATAGACAATTCTAAACATTATGATAGAAGGTCAAATATTCTCTCTTAGAAGTGAAATTGAGGGCCGGGGTTGTAGCTCATTGATAGAGTGCTCACCTTCCATGTGGAAGGCACTGGGTTTGATCCTCAGCACCACATAAAAATAAAATAATGGTATTGTGTCTATCTACAACTAAAAAAAATATTTTTTTAAAGTGAAATTGATGTGTAACAAGTAACAATATATTTTAAAATCAAACATTTGAGTTTCTGCTATGAGTAAAGTAGTGTTTTGGGGATAGTAAATACTCAGTATTTGGGGATAGTAAGACTCAGTCCTTGACCTAATTGGACATATTATAGAAATGAAAATAAAAATGCAAATAACAGTATAATGCTGTTAGGGAAAATGTTATAACCATGTGCTGAGGAGGTTCAAAGATTTTATATATGCAATTGAAACCACCTGTTATTTTACAAAAGTACCAAAATGTTTAAATAAGAAGTCTATCTTTACTGTAAAAGGAATAAAAATATTATGATCTTTTTTAATTAACTAAAGATTCATTGTAAACTATTATAGGCCTTAGTAGGTATTTGAAAATGATTTTATGTTTCTACCTTAGAATAGTGTTACTAAGTTCTACTCTGATAACAAAAGATCTTTTAACAAATACTTCGATGCTGTGATTTTGAAACATCAATCCTTATTACCAATATTATTAGCATGAAAGAGCTGTTGGGGACCTACATGAAAATATCTGAAACGAGGGATCAGAGGTGTAGCTCAGTGGTAGAGCTCATACTTATCATTCTTACCATCTCCAGTAGGCAAAAAACAAAATAAAAACTCAAATGAAACTGGAGTTTTAATAAAGTAGGGTTAAGTTCCTGGGGCCTATGCCCATATTTATCTTTTTGTACCATAAGCATTTTGGATCAGTAACAATTTGGCCCAAAGAGCAGTAGTTTTCCAGGAGAACAGGAATGTATTTTTAGACCTTTACTTTGGGAGAAAAGCACAGATGACTTTATTAATTGCCATACCCCTTGAGAATCATTGTCCATAAGAAAGTAGAGTTCACAGGGGCTGAGGTTGTGGCTCAGTGGTAGAGCACTCGCCTAGCACATGTGAGGCTCTGGGTTCGATCCTCAGCATCACATAAAAATGAATAAATAAAATAAAGGTATTGTGTCAACTACAACTAAAAAATAAGTATTAAAAAAAAGAAAGTAGAGTTCAGGATTATGTTACTCTATGTGGTGCTAGAATAAATTATTGAAAAATGTAATATAAGTCAGTCAGCTGGCTTTTTTGGCATCTTGTTGACTTGTAACCCAACTAATGTTTACATTTTAATTTCTGACTCTTTAAAACTATTTCTGTGTCCAGGCACACCTGTAATGCCAGTGGCTCAGGAGGCTGAGGCAGGAGGATCACAAGTTCAAGGCCAGTCTCAGTAACTAAGCAAGGCCCTAAGCAACTAAGTGAGACCCTGTCTCAACACAAAAATATGAAAAATAGGCTGGGGATGTTGGCTCAGTGGTTAAGTACCCCTGAATTCAATCCCCATTACCCACTCCACAAGAGAACTATTTCTCAGCCTATATTAAGTTGAATAAGATCTTTATTTACAAACTTTGAAAATCAAGGACACAAATTCTTAAATTTGAAAACTTTATTATGTAATAAATACATAGAAATGAGGCAAAAATCCATATACACATTTTATGTTTGCTTCATTCATTATTTACATCCCAGAAAGGATATAAGGAATAGACTCTTTGATTGATTCTATGCTTAGTTGAATGATTTAGAGCAGCTCTAACATAGTGGACTCTGGGTAGCACATGAGAACCAGAGGGGAGCATTCAGTAATATTTCTGGTTTTTTTAATCTTAGATGTATTTAATTCACATAATTCTCAAATTACATTTGAAACATGAGCATGAATTTTTTATTCTTATGAAAATCAAACAGGGGTCTGGTACATAATATTGCCAAAAATCCTGTACTTGAAATTGATGATTTCTGCCCTACCTTATTCATTACATGTATTAGTCTGCTCAGGTGACCATAACAAAATACAACAGACTGGATGTCCTAAACAACAGAAATTTATATTCTCATAGTCTGAAGGCTTGCAAGTCCAGATCAAGGTGTGACAGGGGTCAGTTCCTGTTGGGGGTGCTCCTCCTGGCTTGCAGATGGTCCACTTTTCTCTGTGTTGTCACATGGCCTCTCCTTGCTAATGTATGCACACCAAAGAAAGGAGGTCATGGACAAACACAGACACACAGAACAGACTTTTTCTTCAAAGGCCACTAGTCCTTTATGATCTAAACTAACTCTGATTACCTTCCAGTTAATCACCTTGGAGTTTAAGGCTTCAAGTTATGCTTTTTGTCCCTAACACCAAGCACTGGGGTCTTAAGCATAATGTAGGACTTAAATCTGATCTAACAAGGCCAAACCTTGACATATCAGATGAGCCTCAGGCCATTTCATAAAACAATTTGGTTTGGCAGTCTGGCAGGAATCCTAAGGACAGGACCAGTGACAATGATGCACCCAGAATATATATGAATGTACTTGTGTGATTTTTTTAAAAAAATATGAAATGAATTTGGAAAAATAAGTATCATAATGTCAATCTTATTTCTGTATCAAATATACCATACAAGGTTATTTTTAGGAAGACTAAGTAGGAGTAGACTCTTTTAAATTCCAAGTCATACAAATTTTAAATATTATTTGTATTTAAAATCTAGATTGCTCAGATGGATGTGGTGGTACATACCTGTAATCTGAATTATTCTGGTGTTTCATGGGTTCAAGGCTGGCCTGGGCAACATAGTGAGACTGAGCTACAAGGAACAAATTCATCTGGAAACATTAATATAGATGTTTGTTGGATGCCACAGAACAACAGAATGGAGCTTTCCAGATAATATCACATGCCCAGTTATTTTTCTTTTATTTTTATTAAAATTTTAAAAGTGAAACATAAAAATTATATATATATATATATATATATATATATATATATATATATATATATATATTATGTGTATATGTATGTGTGTGTATATAAGTCAGGGCAAGCATATCTCTTCAAACATTTGTCATTTTTTTATTCAGTGAAAACATTCAGGAATTCTTTCTTCTGGCTCTTTTGAAATATAAAACACATTACCTGTAGTCATCCTGCTGTGCAGTAAAACACCAGAACTTAGAAATTTGGAATGCTTCACAAATTTGCATGTCTCCTTGCTCAGGGGCTACTTTAAGTTTTTATTATTCCTGTTTTACTATATTTAGAATGTAATTGGGTTCTCAATCTTTAGAGCTAAGTTTTGCATGTGATTTTTTTTTTTGGACTTAGTTTATAAATCTGAGGATAGACAGATTTTTCTGTACTTAACTATATATTTACTCTTTTCTTGTACACATGTGCACATAGTTTTACGGTTATAGTCAAAGTCTGGATATATTTTTACTTGCATTGTTAGCATTAATAAACATTTCTCTCATATTCTATTAGACTTCATAATTATAATCGTTACTGGCTGTATAATATTGCATTTGCTCTGGGGTATTTGGAATTTTTAATACTGCAAATACGTTATATATGTCCCAGATACTAACTTTTGGAATCTTATTTAAATATTCTCTTTTCAGAAATGGCCCATGCGATCAAGATTATACATTGGTGCTACTGGTCAGTTTCTGAAGCATTCGGTCTCTGGAGAAAAAGCAAATCATAGCAACACTCCAACAGACTCACAGCCGTAGGGACTCTCATGGTGGTAGCTGGTAGGAGTGGTGTCTATTGTTTTTAAATACTATGAAAGAATTATAATTTATTACATCAAACATAAAAAACATCATTTCTGAAAGTTTACATTGGAGCCCATAGTTTGATGTCCAGATTTATCTTTCTAAAGGTGGAATGAGGTAATCAATCTTATATAAAACATACTGCTTATCTATTCATTGTGAGAGTGATGGCTATATAGTACAAGAGAAACTATTAGGAAAATACACACAAAAAGAAACAATTATGTATATATCCAAAGAAGGCACACATTTTCTGTAGTATATCTATTGTAAATGTAAAAGCCAACATCTATCAGTATAGTCTTTGTAGCTTAAAAAAAAATCTGTGTTTGTGATATGTCAGTATTCTATCTTTGTGAAGACCAAGAATGCATTTCAACTATCAGATGCAAGACCATTTATTTAGTTTGGCTTTATATATGTGTAAAGTCTGTTGCAGTAGCTTCTATCACTAGAGATTTTCCCTGTTAGAAGATTTGTTTGGAGTATCAGAAACAATTTGCTCTATAGGAAATGCCCACCTTTCAAAAGGGTTAGTCAGTATTTGGACATGACTTACATGTTTCCAGATTGTGAAAGGCACTAGGAATTCAGGCAGCCAGTATGAAAAAGAGTCCGGGTGTCACTGGGCAGCAGCTATCATCACACTTTCTCCTAGTCACACCATATCACTGCTTCTTTCAGGTTCTGAGCTAGGTGAGCAAGTTCAGCTGTAGCCATTTTGGAGACAGTGGTCTTTTCAGGCCTTGTAGAGCCATCAGTGAATCCCCCTGACCTTCCTCAGCCAGTGGTGGAGTCAGGTCCCTTCTCCCATCCAAGACTAGCTGGGCTCTACCCTGCTTAGCTTCAGAGATCAGACGAGATCCGGCTGTTCAGGGTGGTATGGCCAGAGATGTCAGATCCCTTCTCACATCAGCTCTTCATAATCTACCTTCATAATCATAATTTGGCCATTACAAAATGGGGAAAATCCTGTCTGATTTGGGAATTCTGGCACTGATGTGTATCTTAGGGGGATCTAAGGATACAGTGAGTGTCCTGAGTTAAATTCAGGCTGGAGCAGACCCCTCCTGAATCTGCCCTAATATGAACCTATAGCAGTAAGCCTCCTGCTGCACTGTACATCCTGAAGTGCTCAGAGAACAATGGATCTGACTGATCCCACTAGTGGCTTTAGTTTGCAATAGGAACCTCCTGAAATTTGTGTTAAATAAAGGAGCTTTGCCTCTGACAACGTTGTTTTTTTCTTTCTTCTTGTCCAGTTATTGTTTTAATGCCAAAGAAGTGTCATTTTGGTCATAGATTTTTATAACATTTTATTAAGTCTTTAAATATGCTAATATTTAAAATATTTTAGTAAGTGGGAAATTCTCAGAAGGGAAGCTGCATGTGTTCTGAGCCATGAGTAGAGATGTTTGTCAGGGAACACACTGAGTTTGGAACAATGGAGTATAGCAGAAACACTGGGAAAGAATCAACATTGGTCCTCTCTTTGCTGACTTAGATTCCCTTTTATCACTTCTTGATTTTCTCCTCAGTCTTTACTCTTCCCTTTTCCAACTGTGAAGTTCATAATATATTTCTCAAAACCTAGTTTTAAAGTTGTTGAATTTGATCCAAGGTTAGCAAACAGATAGCAAAAATAATGAACTTGGTTGAATAACAGTTGACCCACCATTTTATTTTCACCTCAGTTTTCTTCCAGCTTTTGGCAGTGAAATGAAGTAAAACATCATTTGAAGGCAAGAACTATCAGTTGATTCAGTACAGCATGACCAGGTTTTGGCTTATATCCAATAGTTTGTAACTTTTATTATTTTAATGTGACTATCTTCCTTAAAATGTGACCAATAATAAAATCTTTCTACATACTGATATGTAACACAAATGTTTGTATATTTAAATATTTGTGATATGTTTACCTATTCATCTAACATTAAAAAGAAATTTAAAAAAATAAGATTTGGATTCAGCATTCATCATTTTATTGCCATGGGAGGTGCTTAACAGTTTTTCATCTTAAGGAATGCAATGAAAACTTTTTTAAAGTTACCTTAAACAGGCCTGTAAACACTAAATTCGATAGTAAGAATTTCAGAAAAATCATTTTTTAACTAATAATTCTAATCAGTTAGACTACAGTTTTTATTTAATTGGAAAAAAACTGATATTATTGGACTTTTCTAAATCATACTATTATATAGTATAGAGCCTTTTCCCTTTGATGGTATTTTTATTTCTACTTGTCCGGTTATAAATGACCAAGAAATGTTATTTCTGTCATATGTTTTCATTACATTTTATGACGTTGCTAAATATGTTAACAGCATTTTTAATATTTATTTATAGTTGTACTTGGACACAATACCTTTATTTATTTATTTATTTAATGTGGTGCTGAGGATCGAACCCAGGGCCTTGCACATGCGCAGCGATTGCTCTTCCACTGAGCCACAATCCCAGCTCCCACCCACCCCCAACCCCCAATGACTTTTAATAGGTTGGAAAATCTTAGAGGAGAAGTTGCAAATTTTCATCCAAAGGTCCAAAGGAGCATGCTCTTTTAATTAATGATGCACAGTCAGGATAAGGAGTATTATTAAAATAAAAGGAAGCACTAATTTGAAAATTAGTCTGTTTATTTTGCATCGATCTCTTGGAATAATTAACAAACATTGATGGTACATTTGAAAAATAAATTTTTTCTTTTTTTCTTCTGGTACTAAGGATTGAGTCCAGGGGCACTCTACCACTGAGCTACATCCCCAACCCTTTTTATATTTTAACTTTGAGACAGGGCCTTCCTAAATTTCTGAGGCTGGCCTCAAACTTTCTATCCTCCTGTCTCAGCATCCCAAATGGCTGGGATTACAGGTGTGCAGCATTACACCCAGCTGAAGATCTTTCTAGAGTATAGATACCTACCTAGCTTCTTCATCATGTTGTTCTTAATAGATTATATACTAGAACTAGGGAGAGGATATATTTGGATCACAGTATTTATAACCCTGTAATCTGCTGGGGAAATCCTCAGTTAAATTTCTTTCAGTTCATTTGGCTTTCCTAGTGATATAACACAGTTACATTTATTTTAAATAATTATAATAATAATTTGGGGGGCTTGGGAAATGCTTTTTTAAAGGCAAAACCAGTTCTGACTAAAATATTTTTTTCTGACTATAAAAATATAGTGCCATCTAGTTTATTATTCATCGATTATTGTGGGAGGCCAACCTTAGGGGTGACTGAGTTACACTCCCCAGCTGGGTGCTGAGGTGCTCAGTCACAGAAATGGGTGTGTCTTGCTACAGCTCCACGGGTGAAGCTATGCTCACCTGTTCCTTTGTAAGCTAACCCCTTGCCCTGTTTAGGATAGAATCTTCCATGGAAGTGCCTTGTGTGTGTCCCCTTCTCTTACTGTGCCCTTGGGTGTGGCCTACCCAGGTGTCAGTCAACCTGCTGACAGTGGACTTCATGAAGACAGACTCAGCCCCCTGAAACCTGACCCCTTGCCTCATTTGAATAGCTTCTCCTCAATAAAAGGGGTCAGCACATGCTCTCGCGCTCTCTCTCTTTCTGCGGACCCTTAAGTTCAGAGGATCCGTCACAGCGACCCCAAAGAAAAAGGTATTTGTGTCTCTTGTGTGGTTATTTCGTGCAGCCCAGTTAGCCCAGTTTAACTAGAGTGACCCCTGAGCCTTTTAGTCGCGAGAACAGAAACCCAGCAGATTATATATTAATAAAAGTACATTTAAAAGCATATATTCACTTGTTTAATTTTAAACAACAAAAAGAAGTGAGGCAGAAAGTAAGAGTCCTGTTGTAGACATGTCTGGAATAAAGTTGGGGATTATGTGTTCTATATCACTTGGTAATGAAGAGGGGTCTTGCATTTTTATAAGGCTTGTTTTTACTTTATTTTATTTTTAAATTTTTTATTTGTTTTCATTAGTTATACATTATAGTAGCATACATTTATGCTCTTTGATATATCATACATAGATGGGATATAATTTCTCATTTTTCTAAGTGTACATGGTGCAGAATCATATTTGTCATGTAGTTACATATATAGATACATAATAATGATAAGGCTTGTTTTTAAACCAAATTATTATAGTCTGAAGAGTTGCAGATTACCTAAACAGTAACCTTCTTATGTGCTCATGGAGACTTTATTTAAATGTAGAAGAAACTGCAAAAAGAAAATAAATGTTGATTGACCCTACTGAAATGTACTAATTATTTTAGCTGAAATTGCTTCTTAGGTTGAATTATTTGGTAATTTCTCTTTCTCTCAAAGGGCCTCATTTTATATTCATGAAAGCAACTAGCCATTTATTTTCAATTAAAGAGAAAATGTTCAGGCTCTAGTATTTTTTTTTTTTTTAGGAAATAGGAGAGATAATTATGTCTATATTTTCCAGCACATTATTTAATCTTTTTTTTCTTTTGGCCTCAGTATATCATAGTGTCATTCTGAAGAAATAATCAAATACAGACAAAATATCTCTGCAGTAGCCATACATGATTCACTCAGAAATGAACACATAAATTGTATTTTTCATTGTGATAAGACAGCTTACTTGTTGGCTCTATTGTATTGTTGCTCTTCTTAGCTGGCAGGGAGGAAAAAAATATAAATCAAACAGATTGCTTCTGATCTGTATTTATAAGGTATTTTGAGAAATGGTTTAATCTAAATGCTCTTTTCTAACTATGTTACCACAAATTATATATATATATATATATATATATTATATATTTTTTTTTTTTTGAAAGAGAGAGAGAGAGAGAGAATTTTAATATTTATTTTTCAGTTTTTCGGCAGACACAACATCTTTGTATGTGGTGCTAAGGATCGAACCCGGGCCACACGCATGCCAGGCGAGTGTGCTACCGCTTGAGCCACATCCCCAGCCCCTTATATATATTTTTTGAAAAGCCATGAGCTT